AAAAAAAAAAAAAAAAAAGCGAAGGAAAATAATTAAAAAATACTTAAAAAAAAAGAGTGTGGAGTATGAAAAAAGTAGTTTCTAGCAGTTTTTGAGGTTAATGTAATTAATGGGGTCCTGTGTTTAAATTAGGACCAGTACTAGATTCTTTTGAATCTGTGAACAGGCTGTCTTTTATAATATTAATGAAAAGGTGCTTGAGGGGCCAGCTTGTCCAATATTCTCATTTTGTAGGTGAGGAAACCAAGGCCTGCCTGGAGAAGGGAAGTGAGTTGTCCAAGGTCAGTGGCAGGGTTGGAACAAAACCTGGGTCTCCAGGGTCTGGCCCAGCATTTTTTCCTCTTTATCATCTGTCTTAGTCTACTCAGACTATAGCGTTCTGTCCCTGCCCAGAATGTCCCGTTCTGTTAACATACCTTTATTACATCCCAATAGCTCTAAAACTCTTAACTCATTCCAGCATTATCTCCAAAGTTTAAAGTCCCAAGTCTCATCTAAATATCTAAATCAGATACGGATAAGTCTTTGAGTCTTTGAGTCCCTGTGAACCTGGGACATCCAATGCAGTTATGTGCTTTCAAATTACAATGGGAGGGGAGACAGGCATAGGATTGACATTCCCATTCCTAAAGGGACAGAAAGGAAAGAAGAAAGGAGTGACAGGTCTCAAGCCAGTCCAAAACCTTAAGTAATCTTTGGCTCAATACTCTGCCTGCCTGGCCTGCTGGGGCAGAGGTGCAGGCCTGTGGCTTTCGGTGACGCTGCACCCATGACTTGGCTGGGCACACTTTATGCCATAATTCTTACGGGTTGGAGTTACCTGCCTGCAGCTCTCCCAGGCTGAAATTGCACCCCACTGGCTCTATTATCTGGGAGTCCTGAGGCAACCCCTCCCCCATGGCTATGCTGGGCATTGTACTCATAGGTGCTCCCTGCCTCTAAGGCAGTTCTCTTGCCCAGGGCCCCCTCAGTTCTGCAGGGCATCCTTTGAAATCCAGGTGGAGGCAGACACCCACCCACCAGCTTTGACTGGCATAGAGTATGCCACACTGTTGCCCTCTGGGAGCCACACCTGGTGTGGCTAAGGAGTATGACAACAGAATTTGGGGAGCAGAGCTTAAAATGTGAGGCAGCATGGGGCAGTGAAGACCCCTTCTTTGATATTATTCCTCCCCATAGCCGCTGGCCTAAGGCTTTGTGATGGGAGGGAAATCCCCTTACTCCTTAAGATCTCTGAAATGACTTCAAGGTCATCCAATGGTCTTGAACAATAAATCCTAGCTTTTGTTTAGATGGCTGACTAATTCCCTTATTGTCTTGATGACTAGCACCTGGTTTCCCTTGAGATAGCTAATCTTACTAATCTTATCAAACAGTGCTTGGCCACACCTTTGTTCTCTCCCAAATAGATTAATTTTTTCCAATATGAATAGGCTCAACATTTTTCATACTTTTAAGTTTTTATTTCTTTTGTTTTATTTTATTTTATTATTATTTTTGAGACAGAGTCTCACTCTGTCGCCCTCGGTAGAGTGCTGTGGCATCACAGCTCACAGTAACCTCCAGCTCTTGGGCTTAGGCAATTCTCTTGCCTCAGCCTCCTGAGTAGATGGGACTACAGGCTCCTGCCACAAGGCCAGGCTATTTTTTGTTTGCAGTTTGGCTGGGGCCAGGTTCGAACCTGCCACCCTCGGTATATGGGGCTGGCGCCCTACTCACTGAGCCACAGGCACCACCCTTTATTTCTTTTTGATTAACAATTCCATTTTTAATTCGTTTCTCTCTTTTTGCATTTTACTATACAAGCAGTCAAGAGAAATCAGGCCATTCCTTCAAAGCTTTTCAAAGCTTTGGTTAGAAATTTCCTAAGTCAGATATCCAATTTTATTGCTCATAAGTTCTACCTTTCATAAAACACTAGGACATAAACACAATTCAGCCAAGTTCTCTATTACTTTATAACTGTTGCTGCCCAGCCAGGGTGATCTGCTGACTGCCCGAGAGAAAGCCAATATCCAGAGACAGGAGGGTTTACAGCAGGAGAAAGAGTTTATTCTGCAAAACGCTAAGTAGGGAGACAGATATTTCTCAAGTCCACCTCCCTGAGAATTGGGGAGGCAAGGTTTTTAAAGACAGTTTGGTGGGGGTTAGGCAACCATGGTCTGCTAATTGGCTGGTTTCAAGGCGGAACTATCAGTCCTTTGGTCTAGGCTGCTGTCTAGGTGGGTCAGTTACTGGAATGCAGGTCCTTGGGTGGAGGGTCCAAGACTAGTTGAGTCGATCCCTTGGCATATGTATGTCCCTTATTGGAATGTAGGACCTGGAATATATCTCAAAAATTATTCCAGAGTAAAGAAGCAAACAGAGGTAACAGTGATTATTATCAAGCAAATGAGGGGAAAAGGGCTGATTGTTATCATTATTTTAGCTAAGCCTACTCTTTCTTTTTTTTTGAGACAGAGTCTCACTATGCCACCCTCCGTACAGTGCTGTGGCATCGGAGCTCACAGCAACCTCCAACTCTTGGGCATAAGTGATTCTCTTGCCTCAGCTTCCCAAGTAGCTGGGACTACAGGCATCTGCCACAATGCCCTGCTATTTTTTGGTTGTAGTTGTCATTGTTGTTTGGCAAGCCCAGGCTGGATACAGACCCGCCAGCTCTGGTGTATGTCACTGGCGCCCTAGCCACTTGAGCTACAGGCGCTGAGCTGGCTTTTTCTTTTTTTTTCTTTCCTTTTTCTTTTTGGGGATAGAGTCTCACTTTGTCACCCTTGGTAGAGTGCTCTCGTGTCACAGCTCACAGCAACCTCAAACTCTGGCTCAAGTGATTCTCTTCCCTCAGCCTCCCAAGTAGCTGAAACTAGAGGCACCCACTACAATGACTGGCTATTTTTATTTTTTTCTTTGAGACAGAGTCTCACTATGTCACCCTCGGTAGCTGGGACTATAGGAGCCTACCACAATGCCTGGCTATTTTTTGGTTATCATTTGTCATTGTTGTTTGCCAGGCCAGGGCTGGGTTCGAACCTGCCAGCTCCTGTGTATGTGGCTGGCACCCTAGCCACTGAGCTATAGGCGCTGAGCCTATTTTTTAATTTTTTTAGAGGCAGGGTCTCGCTCTGACTCAGGCTGGTCTCGAACCTGTGAGCTCAAGCAATCCACCTACCTCAGCCTCCCAGAGTGCTAGGATTACAGGCGTGAGCCACTACGCTTCCCAATGTAGGCTTTTTCTTGTCTGCACCTCAAACCCTTGAGCCTCTCTACTTGTTAGTTCCAAAGCTGCTTCCACATTTTTAGATATTTGTTACAGTAGCACTCCATGTTTGGCATCAATTTCTTCTCTTAGTCCATTCAAGCTCTAAATAACAAAATAATATAAACGTGGTAGTTGATAAACAATAGCATTTTATTTCTCATGGTACTGGAAGTTGGGAATTCCAAGGTCAAAGTACTGGTAGATTTCCATGTCTGGTTGGGAATTCCAAGGTCAAAGTACTGGTGGATTTCCATGTCTGGTGAATCGCTGTAACTTCAGGTGATGAGAAGGGTGAATGAGCCCTCTGGTCTCTTTTAGCAGGGTAATAATCCCATTCATGAGGGGGCTCTGTCTTCATAACCTAATCACCTTCCAAAGACCCCCCAATACCATCACCTGGGGCGGGGTGTTAGGATTTCAAAATATGAGTTTAGGAGGAGCACAGACATTCAGACTATAGCGTCATGTCACAGTGCTTGTTTCTGTCCTCTGCCATCGCAGGCCTGCGGAGTGGGAACAGAGGGCAACATCTACGGTAACCAGGGACCTCGGCCTGGAGTCTGAGCAGTTGCCCTTCTGGAAATACTCTTAGGGAGATTCCTTCCCTTGTGATCCAAAAGAAAGAACACAGCAAATAGAAGCAACAGCCAGTCCCTGTTGCTGGTTGCATAAAGCCCATGACATGAGCTAGGGTCTGCTCTCCAGGGTCCCTGGGGGAGTGTCAGGATCAGGGGTTGCACCCATCAGACTGGCCTCCTGACACACAATGCTGACCTGGCCTTACCCTCCCTCTGGTGTCTTACAGCGTGTCTGGAGGAGAGCTCTTTGATTTCCTGGCCCAGAAGGAGTCACTGAGTGAAGAGGAGGCCACCAGCTTCATTAAGCAGATCCTGGATGGGGTGAACTACCTTCACACAAAGAAAATCGCTCACTTTGATCTCAAGGTCAGTAAGGAGAAGGGGAAAAGAACCAGAGTTTAGAAAGGGAAGAAGGGGCCCAGTCACCCCCAGTGTCATTGCCAGGAGGGCCCCACCACTCGATCCCTCCCTGGTCTTTCAGATGAAAACTCTGAGCTTTTGGTAAAGAAATGCTGCGTAGAACATGCCTGCCTTTTCAGTTCGTTTCACAGCTCAGGTTTTCTGCACACAAGAGCTGACTGCAAGAAGCTGATATTTTAAAAAATTTATATAATTTAATTAATTTATTTATTTTGAGACTGAGTGTCACTATGTTGCTGTCAATAGAGTGCTGTAGTGTCACAGCTCACAACAACCTCAAACTCTTGGGCTTAAGCAATTCTCTTGCCTCAGCCTCCCTAGTAGCTGGGACTACAGGCGCCTACCACAATGCCTGGCTATTTTTTGGTTGTAGTTGTCATTGTTGTTTGGCGGGCCCAGGCTGGATGCGAACCCGCCAGCTCCCATATGTGTGTCTGGTACCCTAACTGCTGAGCTACAGACGCCCAGCCTTTTTTTTTGGAGACAGAGTCTCACTTTGTCACCCTTGGTAGAGTGTTATGGCGTCATAGCTCACCTCAAAGTCTTGGGCTCAAGTGACCCTCTTGCCTCAGCCTCCCAAGTAGCTGGGACTACAAGCACGTGCCACAATGCCTGGCTCAGGCTGGTGCAAGAAGCTTCTTAATCAGACTACAACACCTTCTGTTCTTCAGACAGCAAGTCGGGCATAATTTTTAAATAAGTAGACCCGTGACAGGAAGCTTGAAACCAAACACATTTCACAGACTGAAATTTTCAATAATCAAGAGCTAACTCCTAGACAGAACTACACGTGTTTAGAAGATTGCTAAGGTGGGATTGTTCTCCAGAACAGCACGGAGTGGCCTCCAGCATTCTTTGACCAGAGCCTGTAAATTTTGGAGCCCAGGGACCACTGACTTCCCTTCCCTACCATGCCCCAAACTGCGGCCATAAAATTGCTTCTAGGGCCAGTGATCATTTGTGGTAACTGGTATTCAGGGTTGAGAAAGTTCACTGTGACCACACAACAGTCTATAAAGCAAGACTGTGGTCAAAGTAGAAGGATCAGTTCCCTTGGTAACCGAGCTCAGTTGCAAAGACTGATGGGACTTTACAGACACCTAAAGCATAAAGCTCCTCTGACTTGTGATCAAACCTGTGATCTGTTTGCTGGGGAGGAGACCCCTTCATTTTCCTATCCAAAAATCCCTGTGGTCTTTCGAACACTATGCTGGAGGCCTGGGTATTGTTGCAGATACAAAATCCACTGAGGCCCTGTCTAGGCTTGGTTCCTCTTTTCCAGAGAATTTAGTGTAGCAGACAGAAGAGAAAGACCAACAACTCAAGTTCTCTGATAGGAGGAATCAAAGGGGTGCTGGGAAACCTGAAGGAGAAGAGACCTAAGTCAGACTGGGGCTTCCTGGAAGAGGTGGTATCAAGTTGAGTTCCAAAGACACGGCAGGAGTTAGTAGGGGGAAATGGCCTTCTAAAGAAGAGAGGCCAGCATTGCAGAGTCACAAAACAGAGCAGCGCATTCAGGAAGTATGGGCATAGGGAGTGTGTGCTGAGTGGCTGGGAAAAATGCCAAGAGGAGTGCAGAGGTGGACATAGGGTGTGAACACTGAGCCAGAGAGGTTGCCCTTTACCCTGAGAGATACAGGGGCCAGGCAAGCAGTGAGGTGCAGGGAGCAAGAGTGTGTTTCAAAATGATCCTTCTAGTTGGGAGGATAGATAGACTGGGGCATCCTGGAGGTTGGAAGTACAGCTAGGAGACTAACGCATTAATCTGGGTGACATGTGAGGAAGGGACAGATTCAAGGTCTATTGCAGAGGTCAATGTGAATATTGATTAGGTACCTAGATAATGGAGATGGAGAGAGCTAAATCCAGGATGACACCTGCTGTGAATCCCCTTAGTGTGGTTCCCCTCCTCCTTATGCCAATTGTCATAGAATTATTATTTATTTTTGAGACAGAGTCTCACTTTGTCACCCTTGGTAGAGTACCATGGCTTCACAGCTCACAGCAACCTCAAACTCTTGGGCTTAAGTGATTCTCTTGCTTCAGCCTCCCAAGTAGGTGGAATGACAGGCGCCCACCACAACGTCCAGCTATTTTTTTGTTATAATTGTCATTATTGTTTAGCAGGCCTGGGCCGGGTTCAAACCTGCCAGCTATGGTGTGTGTGGCTGATGCCCTAACCACTGAGCTCTGGGTGCCGAGCCTGGCTATTTTTAGAGACAGGGTCTTGCTCTTGCTCAGGCTGGTCTTGAACCTGTGAGCTCAGGCAATCCACATGCCTCAGCCCCCCAGAGTGCTAGGATTACAGGTGTGAGCCCCCGCAGCCAGCCTTGTCATAGTATTTTTAGCTCTTTTAAACTCTTTTTTTTAGCAGTTTTTGGCCGGGGCTGGGTTTGAACCCGCCACCTCTGGCATACGGGGTCAGTGTCCTACTCCTTTGAGCCACAGGCGCTACCTTCTTTTTAACTCTTTTTAATACCTTCAACAGAAAACATCTTTCAGAGTCTTCACCAAGGAGGGTGAGGCCTAGGCCGGCCTTTGTACCTGGGTAGTAATACACCAAGCAGGAAAAGGTCTGCCTGAATTGCACCTGTCTCCTTCCTGGTATTGCTGTGGACAATTAACTTCTTTTCTTGTGTCTTTGCTGGCTCCAGGAGACCAGTCTCAAAATGAGCTCCTTTGTCTTCCCTCTGATAGATCTGGTAGAAGGGGGAGGAGTTGCTGGAGCCCTCAGACTTGGATGAGTTTTTGTTTGTTTCTATGATGGTAGTTCACATGCTGAGGGGAGCCCTGGCTCGGAGTTAGCCCCTCAGGGCTTTCATCCTTACTCTACTGTGTACTAGGATACACCTAAACCTCAATTTTTCAGGTTACAGCAAATAACAACACCTGGCAGAGTTGTTGTAGGGGTTAGAGAGAAGAAACATTAAGTGCTGAATATGGAACAGGTGCTCTGTAATAGTAGCTGTTGTTATTATTTCCCTTCCCAGAATAGAAGAAAAGAAAACACAACTCTTATTACAGTGTTTTGGGCCCCGATAGACTAGGAAAACAAACCCTGCCAGTGTAATTCTAAATTGCCCAGCAGTGAGCTGAGTTGGTTGCTACGTGTGACTGCTGTCAGGGGCTTGTATCTAGGTCCTGGGTTGGTCTGGACATTTTCCATGGTCTAGAGACAGTCTGGGGCTCCCCTGGATGCATGTAGGGTAAGGATGCTGGTAACCCCTGCTCCAGCCATGTGTCCTCAGAGTCGTGAGGACTCCTAAGTTTTTGGACTCCCTCACACATGGGTCCCTTGGCCCAGCCCCTGCTAGACAACTTCGGGAAGTGATGAGTAGCTGGAGCTCAGAGGGATTACCCTATAATTGAGTGGACACTTCCTGCAGCCAGAATGTGGGCCTATGTGCCTTCTGGCTGGAACCTTCTGCCAGCTTGGAGAGATCAGACAGACGGTCCGACTGGTAGCTTAGAGGAAGCTACTTGGTTCCATGTTGTTTCTTACCATACAGAATCCACATTTTTCTTCCTGATTTTCATTCTCCACAAGGGACCTTTGCTTGCCTTTCCTGCTTGCATTCTGTTACTCCTTGTCAAGCGAGTCATGCTAGCCTTGCTGCCCAGGAGCACAGCCCATCCGCCATGCTATCTCCACACTCCTCATAACCTGCTCTCGACACTCACCTGCCAGCTAAAAGGAGCAGGTGATGGAGGAGGGCTGGCTCTGGCCGGCCTTTAGAATGAGAATGAGCTCTTCTCCAGCTGCTGTTTGATTAGCTCCTCCTATATTCAGCCATAGTGCTAGGGACAGTCGGGCTCTGTTCCTGCTTACTGCATGTTCCCAGCCTTGTTGTAGAGAGTGGCCAAGTAGACAAATTAATATAAGATTAGCAGTTTTGGTAAAAACAGACATGATACCTCTTGACCCCCAAATCTGTGATGGGTCCTTGTTCACCATAGGATAAACGAACCCATTCTCAGTGTGGAATTCAGGCCTTTCTTGCACTGCCCCAGCCCAGTTTCTAGCCTTATCCACCCTGCCCCACTCTAAAAAACTAGCCCCAGGGGACAAAATGACAGATGCATGATCTGGCCTCTCTCTTTCATGCTGTTCCCATCCAGGATGCTGCTGCTCTTTTATTGTCTGCCCACGGACTTCCTGCTCGCCCTTAGAGACCCGGCAGAAACCCCATTTCCTCTGGGAAGCCTTTGCCACCCTGTCGTCTCCCAAAAGCATAACTAAGAACTAACTTGCCTCTCTGCTTCAGTTGCTCTTTGCGCAAACCTGCTGAAAGCTTTTGTTGCTGAGTCACTTTCTGCTGCACAATACCTGCCACATGGTGAGTCATTTGGTATTGATCAAATGAGTGAATGAATGAATGAATGAATGCTTTAGTGAAGACCAAACACATGGATGTCTAAGGCCCTTTCATGTCTTACCTGGAAAATGCAAATGAGGTTGCAGGCAGATTTCAATTTACTAATGCAATTATTAAAGGCCTACTCTATACATTCAGGGAGTAGAGTGACAAACGTCATGTGCTGTGGTCCTGGCCTGCTAGGGACCCACCATCTCCTGGGAGATGGGCACAGTCAGACTCAGTGGGGGCACCGCTCTGAAATAAAAGCTAACTGATCGCCACCAACAAATGCTCTCATTCAAGGGGTAAACTCTGCCTCGGCAGAATGGAGACCATCCTGGCTTGTATTGTACATTCACCAGAGAAAGGCCCGCTGACACGGGGTGGGGGTGGGGGGCTGTGCTGAATTGCCCTGTATTGACATAAGTGGAAGCGACACTGGGGCTGACTGGCCTTCAGTCCTGAGTGGGCCCCAGACCTGTCTCCAGACGTGCCTTCTGTGGGGTGGATCACCAGGAGATGGACTCAATTCCACCCAGGAACCTCACTGAGGTACACAACCCCAACACAAAGGCCTTACAGAGGGCA